CACACACACACACACACACACACACACACACACACACACACACACACACACACACCAGCTACTATCATTTAAAATCATTGTTTTTTTTTTTTACTTTCTGAAAAAGATAGTCAACAAGCATTGATTAAGAACATACTATGTGCTAGGCATTATGTGATGCATGGGGGATACAAAAAGGTGAAAAATGGCCCTCTTCCCAATGAGAACATAGTCCAAACAACTGTATAAATGAGTATAAATTGTATATAATGGAGATAGAGGGAACACTAGCATTAGGACATTTTAGAAAGGCTTCTTGCAGGAGGTAAGATGTCTATGTTATCTCCATTTCACAGATGAGAAAACTAAGGCTCTGGGTAGATAAGTCACTTGCCTAGGGTCATATAGATAATAATTATTAGAAGCAAGATTGCAAATCTCTCCTGAATTAAGATCCAGCATTATTTGCATTATGTATCATTGCCTCTGACTAGGATTATGTACTGGTGTTTGGGTTGAAGGATTTGAATCTGCCTTTGCATGTGCCCTCCATGTTAACTGAAAGCAATTGAAGATCATTTGAAAACAATGATGTTTTGTTGACCCACTGTAAAAACAAAACAAACAAACAAACAAACAAACAAAAAAACCAATACCAGCAACAGAATTTCAGCAATCATATCCCCAAGTTCTTTCATAACCTTGGAATTCAATTCTTCCAAAACCAGTTAACCTATTGCATTGAGAGAAGTTAGGCCAGGGGTTAGATTCATTCAAAGGACCACACTTGAGGACCTGTAGGGCCACATGTGGCCTCGAGGCCATAGGTTTCCCACCCCTGAGCTAGGTGATTTCAACATTTTCATAATCTATCTTGAGATTCATTTTCCTATTAACCAATATTGTTTTTCTATCTCAGATTTTTTTTGTAGAGAAAATACAAAAAAGACAAGATTGGAGTAAATCTCATTTTTTTTTAAACCTCCTATCCTAGAAACATCATATCACCATGGATAGAGATGGCTCTCTGGCCATCCTGGAAAAGAAGAAGTCCAGGGTTTAAGTAGCACCTCAGACACATACTAAAGACAATAGTCAAGTCATCTAACCTCTGTGTTCTAGATAACTCTCTAATGATATGTTACAGAGACAATATTAACCAGGGAATTTCTTCCCTGGGAATTTCTCATACCAATAAAATCGTATGCCTAATCCTTCTTCCTTCTTATTTTTTCATTCACTCCAAGTTGAAAGCTTATACATTTAATAATTATAATGACCTTTCATATAGCGTTTAAATACTTATAAAATGTTTTATGAATATCATTTAAGCCTCACAACAACCATGGGAGGTAGTTATCAAAGGCATTATTATCACCATTTTGCGGATGAGGAAGATGAGACTGAGAGGGTGACTCGTGTCCCATTGTAAACTATTAAGATCATTATTGTGAGACGCTAGTTGTATAGATAGAAAATACATTGGATGCAGTTTTAAGAGCTACCGTGATGAGGCAGGGGAGTATATTTCTGCTGAACATGGTTACCCCTAGGAGCCTGAGAGAGTCTGTATGTAAATGTGTGGTGGCAGTCTACCTCTGGGAACTTAGCCAATGTAAAAACATGTTGAGGGAGTGAGAGAAAACCCAGAGAAAGAGAACAGGGGTATTTATACTCCACAGTGTCTCCAGTGACTAGAACCCACTATAAAATTTTGCCTTGTTAAATTGTGGGAGCATTGGAAGGAATGATAGACAATTCCATACCTTCAAGCGTAATACTAGCATCAGAGATGGAATTTAAATCTATGATTTCCTGACCCCAAATTCAGAATTCTATCTATTATAACAAGCTTTCTCTCTTGACTTCCCTTGAGAGCTATGCTGAGGAGTGGCTTGAAAATCAGACCCAGAATATGTATAGCCTGTATCAATCAGATTGCAAGCCTTCTTGGGGAGGGAGAAAAAATGTAAAACTCAAAAGCTTATGGAGATGATTGTTGATAAATCAAAATAAATTAATAAAAAAGGGAAAAAAAGAAAAAGAAAAAAAAAGAAAATCAGACCCAGAATCAGGAAAACCTAAGTTCAAATTCTGCCTCAGACATTTACTAGTTTTGCGACCCCTAAGTCTCAGTTTCCTTATCTGCAAAATGAGGATAGTAATAGCACCTACCTCCCAGGGTTGTTGTCAGGATAAAAGAGAAGGGAACAAGCATACATTACATGCCTAAAATAAAATAACATATGTGTAGTACTTTGGAAATCTTAACTGTCATATAAATGTTAGCTGCTACTTTATTTTTATCACATAAACATTTTTAAATAGCTCTAATTTTTGTTATCTTTAATATTCATTATCAGTATCACCTTATATGGTGCTTCAGCCTTCCTGGGGTTATTCTCACAGCACCTCCCCTCTCTTTGTTACTCACTCTCAAGTTACATGACTTTACTTCAATTTTTTTTTAATGTGTCATAAAAAACAGCTTGAGCTTATTCATGAATATCTCCTGCAACCATATTAGTCTATTTAGACACCTCCCATTTTCATTCCTTATCAAAATCAGTTTTAACTGTGTGAGCAGAAGGACATTTTTGATAACCTGTTTCTTTCTAGCTGGATTTCCTTTTAGCATCTCCAGTCATGGGATTCTAGCTCTCCTATTTCTGAACCCTTTGAAATTGTTTCTCTTATAGTGCATGATATACATCAAACTCTTCTCTACATTTTCCTCCTTATCCATCACAGACTCTCAGATGGCATGATCAATGACTCCCAGAGGGCCTATAATTTCTGATTTACTTCTTTATTGCTCAGATTTAAGTATGGAATAAAAGTTCCCTTCATCCAATTTATTAAAGATGAAATTATAAGAAAAGTAAAGAATTTATTAGCTCATCTGCTTTTGGCAGAGAAAAACCCACTAGGATAGGTCTAGATAATTGAATTCACCCATCATAGTTATAACCTGTCAATTATATCTATTATGGTATATGTATATATGTGTATATATAACATACACACATTATACATACACATATATCTACACACTCATACATACACACCTTTTTTATTTGTTAATCATTTTCCTGTAAATAAAATCTCCATGGGACCTTGCCATTTAAAATATTTAAAATATAGGATTGATAATACATCTAATTTTCTACTCATATATTCTTTACTTTTACATTTACCATTCTTTAAAGAAAAGGTTTGTTGTTGTTGTTGTTTGTTTTTAACCACAGTCATATAAATTCATCACTGGCTGTTGTATATGTCCTGAATTAGAGTATGATAACTTGATTATCTGCCACTGTGAATTTATTCAGTTTAATGAATTCAATTTGATAATCATTTATTATGTAATCTCCTTCATAACCAACTGCCATTTCCAACTAGATGTCATGTAGACATCTGAAACTCAAAATCTTGAGTACAATGATCACTATCTCCTCTCAAACCTTGGCTTTCCCTAACTACTTCTTTATTTCTATTGAGAACGAAAACCACTTTTCAAGTCACCTAGATTCACCATTTTAGAATCACACTCAACTCTTCCTCTCTTGTCACCTTTCCGTATCCAGGTATCTGCAAAGTGTTGCTGATTCAACTTGTACAACATCTCTCACAATCAACTCTTTCTGTCCATTAGCAGAGCCACCTCTGGTTCAGGACCTCATCACCTCTCATCCGGACTATGGCAGTTGCTTCCTAATTGTTTTTTTTTCCAGCCTTCAGTTTTTCCCTTCTCCAGTTCAACCTCCACACAGTTGTAAAATTCACATTCCATAAGCACAGTTCTAAGTGTGTCATTCTCCTACTCAAGAAACTCCAATAGTTGCTCCTTGCATCTAGGAGAAAATAAATATACTAGTATCTGGCATTTAATATTACTCAACTTTGTATAGCAGCCTGGATATTTAATAAACATTTATTAAGAATTTACTGTGTGTGGGGCAAGGTAATGGATAGAGCACTGTGTTTGGAATCTGGAAGATTCATCTTCATGAGTTCAATCCAGCCTCAGCCACTTACTAGCGGTGTGCTCCCGGGCAATTAATTTAACTTTATTTGCCTCAGTTCCCTGATCTGTACAGTGATCTGGAGAAGGAAATGACAGACCACTGTAGCATCTTTGCCAAGAAAATCCCAAATGGGGTCATGTAGAGTCAGATACAACTGAAAAATGACTTAACAACATGTGTCAGGTACTGTACTAAGTTCTGGGGCTACAAACATAATTTAAAAGGAAGATAGTTTCTACCTCCAAGAAAGTTACAATCTAATGGGGAAATACAACATTTAAAAGGAAACTGAAAAGTGCAATTGTTGGGGGTAAAGTACCCACAAATGACCATAGCATTAAAGGCTGGAAATTCAGAAGCACAGAAGGGAAGGAAATGAAGGATAACTGACCTGGATCCCTCTCCAAAATGGAGACTTCTGGAAGATTTCACCAAAGGGAGAAGGGTTTTAGCATAGCAGAGTGATGTTCCAGAGTGAGGAGGCACCATGCACTAAAGAAGGTTTCAGGATGAGAGTTCAATAGAGATTTGAAGTCCAGAAAATCCAAAGCATAGCTGTAAGTGGAACCTATATGTTAGTCAAACTAGCTTGCTTTCTCTTCCCCAAAAATAACATTCCCTCTCCTTCTTCCATGAAATTTCATGAGTGATCTCACATTCCTTCACTTACACTTTATAGAATATCTTCTTTGAAGGATAAGCTCAAGTGCTATGTCTTACAATACACCGCCCTATCCCGATGATCCCTGCAGTTACTCATGCCCTGGTCCAAAAAAAATCTTACTTTGTATCTTATATTTACTTAGCTATGTCCATATTGTTTCCTCCAAATAGGATGCAGTTACCTTGAGAATAGGGATTGTTTGGATTTTCTCTCTGCATCCCAAGTACCTGGCACATAATACTCTTTGTAAATTCTTATTGATGAATGAACCAATAAGAGTCAGATCAGATTATAGAAAACTTTAAATATCAGGCTTCGATTTTATTCTATAGAGCTAATGAAGGTTTTGGGGTGGGAAAGTAGCAACATCCCATTCTAGTCAATAGAATTCATCAAGTATTTATTAATAATAGTTAAAATTTACATAGCACTTCAAGGTTAGCAAAGCATTTTGCAAATATTACTTCATTATATCCTTATAATAATTCTTTGAGGTATGTGCTAATAATGTACCTATTTTTTCGGATAAGAAAACTGGGAAAGACAGAAAGACTTGCCCAGACTTATCCAGAGTCACTTAGGTAGTAACAGTCTAAGGAAGGAGTTGAACTGAGGTTTTCCTGATCTCAGATCTGACATTCTATCCAATGTGCCACATAGCTACCTATTACATATAAGATGCATAATGAGAATACAAAGATGAAAATCACTAATCGCTACCCTTGAAGAGATTACAATCAAATCAAGTGGACAAGACATTTACACAAGTAGGAAAAACACAAGACATGACAGTTCTAGACAAAATGTCATAAGAAATCTGAGGATGTAGAAATCCATTTCTCTTACAGGGAGGAGAAAGATCAGAGAAGATTTCATGGAGAAGTTAGCCTTTTCAACGGATTTTGATGGAATGTAAGGATGTTAACAGAAGAAGAAATGAAAGGAGAGGCAACCATGGTTTAGCAGACAGGGCAGTGCATTTGGAGTTAGGAAAATCTGGGTTAAACTTTCACTTCATGTACATATTAGCTAGGTCACCAAATCTATGTATTCATCCTTAATCTCCCTCTTAAACTAGTAATCCACTGTGATTGGCATGTAGAGTGAGTGAAGGTGAAGGATGTGAAATAAGACTGAGAAGATAAAAGTCAGATTTTGAAGGCTTTAATTACTTGGTTGAGGAGGGAAGGCTCTAGCATTAACGGAGAACCAGGAAAGTCTTTTTCTACAAGATAAGATTTTAACTGAAACTTTAAGAAATCCAGATAAGCCAGGTAATGGAGATGAGGAGGGAAAGCATTGCAGCCATTAGGTGCTTTGCTATTATAAATTGAATGAATGCACTATGGTGGAAAACTTTCAAAAAATCCTTGCAACTGGTAACATTTTAAGTTAGAAAACCATAAATTAATATTATCTAAGTTGTATTATATTTTTAATTTATTTTGTTAAACATTTTCCAATTATATTTTAACCTGGTTCAGATTCTGTTGCTTTTGATCTGCACACCATGAATTTCATACCTCTGTACAGAGAAGCATCAGAAAGGAAATGAGAGCTCTGGGGAAAAACAAACAAACAAACAAAAAAACCCTCCTTAGGAGGAGAATAAACAGTTTCTTAGAGAAATTGTAAAACCTTACCCAACTCAACAGACTCCCTGAAAAGCAGAATAGACCAAACAGAAATCAAAGAATTCATAAGGCAAGAAATACTAGAACAATTTAAAAAAAAATGTAAGATATCTCCTTGAAAAAAACAACAGACCTAGAAAGCAAGTCATGGAGAGAAAAATCTAAGGCTCATCAAACTACTTGAAAACCATGACCATTTTGTCCATTATCTGTTTTGCACATATTAGGTGCTTAGTGAATGTTTATTTAAATGAATTTGAATTAATACTTCAAAATGGCTTTGATTTTATCTGTGTAGATATCATCCCACCAAAATAGATTCCCAAAGCTTTAGAGTTCACTTAAATTAGGGGTTTTTAAACTAGTGTCTTTGAACGAGAGAGAGAGAGAGAGAGAGAGAGAGAGAGAGAAACTGTATTTCAAAATAATTGGTTTGCTTTGTAATCTTATATTTTATTTTATGCATTTAAAAACATTATCCTCTGAAGGAGCCCATAGTTTTTACCAAATTGACAAAGGTCCATGTCATGAAATAGGCTAAGAGGAGTCGCTGGTATAATAATTATCATGATTTGCAATGGCAAGAAAAAAAATCACCTAAGGACAGCCTTTTGATGATATCTCCCCGCTTTTAGCTATGCTGTTCCTTAAATAGACATATATTCCATCACTAGGCTTATACTAAAAGCCTTTCCAGTACAAAACCAGACAAAACTTATACTCCTCTATCACAGCCTTTAAGAATCTAGGGTCAGCTCTATTAAGTAGTATGCTAGTGAACTACTGGATTGTAGGATCAAAGATTTAGAATTGGAAGGAACTAAAATCAAATCTAACTCCCTCTTTTTACAGATGGAGAAATCAAGACCCACGGAGATTAAATTACCTGCTCAAGGTCACAGAGGTGGCAAGTTTCAGGATCCTATTATATTAAATTTAAAATTAATTACCACTTAATTACCACCTCTATCATCATGTCTCCCTCCAAAAATGTGAATTCTATATAGTTTGTATTTAATTTGCACTCATTGTTTCTCACAATAAATTGTAAGCTCCTTGAGGGCAGAAAATGTTTTGTTTTTGTCTAAGTATTCCCAGTGTCTAGTGTCATGTCTGGTACATAGTAATTGCTTAATAAATGTTTGTTGATTGATAAAGTGATTGATTCATTTGAATGAATAATACATTTGTATTAATTTTAATAGCTTTACCTGAATTTTCATTTGGTGCCCTTTTATAATTTGGGAAGAGTATTTTGGCTCCCTGACCATCTATCATATTTAAGAGATTGGTGGCTTGTCCTCTGACTTCTAAGAGTTAGGGAGTGAAGGCTGATTTCAGACTGTCTACAAATTCTTAATATATTGTTACAGCGGGATGTTCTTCCCAAAGGGAATGTGAACAGAATGTAGTAAATCCTTCAGACCTCAGAAGGTTAATCATAAAATCATTCCATCTTAACCTCCTTACTGCCATAATGCCACCATTTCTTGTTATATACACATCCAGACTCATATTAATGGTCAAATGAAGTTTAAGAGAGAAATGATTACTTTCCACCTGGCCTAGGCTATTCATCTCAAGAATCAAGTTAAGTAATAAAGGGCTGATTATGAATGAGTCAATAATGAAGACTCTGTGATTAGATGTAAGTGAAATTCCCAGTAGATAGCCAATGGACAGCTGCTTAACATTGTTAAATTGTGACAATAAATGAGTTTGACGAGGTATTTTCCTCTTTGATTCCAGTAACTATCCCTGGAGAAATGACCCATAGGAAAGCAATCTTCTCAATCCTAGTTTTCGATGAATGAAGCTTTGATTGCCAGAGCCAATGCCAGTCTTAGTGTTCAAATCTTCTAAAATGGTTGTGTCAGGTAATAGATACTTTCCATCAAGTATACCTTCAGGGTGGATATACCTTGGTGTTTGTTAATTTTTAGTTTTGTTGTTTTATTTTTCCTACCATTTGTTTAGTATAAATGCTATGCTAATCATCTATTTAAGGCTGCCTTCCTCAAAAAAAAAAAACATTACAGATTTGGGTCGTTTTGGCTGCTCATCACACATATCCCTCCATCTCCCAGTTTAGTGCTTTTTCATTGGCTGTCTTTTTTACCTGTAATGCTATCTCTCTTCAACTCAGCTTCCTGGCTAACCATGACTTCCTTCAAGACAGCTTAAATTCTAGCTTCTGTTGAAGGCATTTTCCAGGCTTTCCCCTTCCTCAACTTCCCCCACCCACATTATTAGGGTCTTCCTTCTGATGTTACTTTCCCTCTACTCTGCATCTATTTTGGGTACACATAGTTAATAAATCATAATCATAATAACAACTGATAATATAATGCCTATTATGAACCCTCAAGCACTGGGTTAAGTGATTTACAAATACTGTTTCATGGTTATTTATAACTTCTCACTACAGTTAGAAAATTAGCCCTTTAAGAAAAGGGTTAGGGGCAGCTAGGTGGCGCAGTAGATAAAGCTCCATCCTTAGAGTCGGGAGGACCTGACTTCAAATCCGTCCTCAGACACTTAACACCTACTTACTAGCTCTGTGACTCTGGGCCAGTCACATAACCCTGATTGCCTCACCAAAAACAAACAAACAAAAAAAAAAGGTTCATCTTTTTTACTTTTAAGCAACTGGAACATAGTAAGCACTAATAAATGTTTATTGACTGCCTTGCTTATGTTTGGTCAGACCTGTGATTTAATTAATGTAAAGGGTTGCTAAGGAAGGACATTTCTTTTGCTATGCAGATGGGCAATTGTTCTGCAACTTACATATTGTCTTAGAGAATTCTCTGAACTATTAAGAGATTAAGTGACTTGCCCAAGGTCAAACAGTAAGTGTGAATCAGAGGCAGAACTTGAACTCAAGTTTTCTAGACTTCAAGGCCATCTATCTATCCACATCATAGTAAACATCATTTGAAAAGAAACAAAATTCTGCCATGTAGTATGTAAAGAATATTTTTTTGGTGATTTTGATAATTTTCTTTTTTAATATATTTATGTAATATTTTATTTTCCCCAATTACATTTAAACACAATTTTTAACATTCTTTTCTTTTAAAATTTTGAGTTTCAAATTCTCTCCTTTTCTTCCTTCCCTCCACCTCTCATTGAGAAGGCAAGAAATTTGATATAGGTTATACATGTGCAATCATACAAAACATATTTCCATATTAGTAATGCTGGGAAAGAAAACAGACCAAAAAAGAAAAGAAATATAAAGAAAGCTTTAAAAA